CAAGGAAAGGATACTGTAAAATCCCCATTCCCTCCACACTCCAGGGGAAGGATACTGTAAAATCCCCATTCCCTCCCCACTCCAGGGGAAGGATACTGTAAAATCCCCATTCCCTCCCCACTCCAGGGGAAGGATACTGTAAAATCCCCATTCCCTCCTCACTCCAGGGGAAGGATACTGTAAAATCCACATTCCCTCCTCACTCCAGGGGAAGGATACTGTAAAATCCACATTCCCTCCTCACTCCAGGGGAAGGATACTGTAAAATCCCCATTCCCTCCCCACTCCAGGGGAAGGATACTGTAAAATCCCCATTCCCTCCCCACTCCAGGGGAAGGATACTGTAAAATCTCCATTCCCTCCCAACTCCAGGGGAAGGAAACTGCAAAATCCCCATTCCCTCCCCACTTCTGGGGGAAGAATATTGCAAAATCCCCATTCCCTCCCCAATCTTGGAGGAAGGATACTGCAAAATCCCCATTCCCTTCCCACTCTGGGGCCAGCCAGGGATGGTATTTGCTGGTTCTCCGAACTACTCAAAATGTCCGCTACCGGTTCTCCAGAACCTGTCGGAACCTGCTGAATTTCACCCGAGTTACCCCATGTGATCTTTTCCCCACCCCTCTCAGATTCAGAGATTACTGTGAAAGGGCATACATGATCCTTCGAGGCCATGGCCTTCTCTTCTTGCATCTTTTCTCCCTGATGAAAGCTGCTGGCTTGCCGGAGTTGAGCTGCTCCAAAGACATCCAGTATCTCAAGGTGAGGAGGAGGAGGAGGAGGAGGAGGAGGAGATTTTGAGTGGGTTCACAATCTTCCAAATTTGGGCTGGATCATGAAATCCATTACAAAGTCATGTGTTCTGAACACCACAAAAACGGAAGGTGAGCCATGGTGGCGCAGTGGTGAGAGGGCAGTACTGCAGGCTACTTCTGCTGACTGCCAGCTGCCTGCAGTTTGGCAGTTCAAATCCCACCAGGCTCAAAGCTGACTCAACCTTCAATTTTTTAAATTTATCATTAAATTTATATCGCCGCCTATTCTCCCGTGGCATCCATCCTTCCGAGGTGGGTAAAACGAGAACCCAGGTTGGCGCGTGGTGATGCAGTGATTAGAATGCAGTACTGCAGGCCGATTCTGCCCACTAGATTGCCAATGACTCCCGAGTTCGAAGGTCATCGTGCTAGCCCGCGTGTAATTTATATAGGGACTGAGAAAAGGGGTGGGGTGGGGGGAAATAGGGATTTCTGCAGATTGCAAGAGATATAATATACATCAAAAGTGAGGCAGAAAGGAAGACGATATGATATTCCCAGTCTGCCTCCTCCTTCGGTGTATTAACTTCTGGCTGAGGGTGAAGCTCTGATGTGGCCTCTTAAGAGTTAGCAGGGGTTTAGAATGGTGCCCCCCCCCAAAAAAAAAAAATTGTGGGTGCTCCATCACTGGAGGTTTCTAAGTCGCTTGTCTGGGATGGTATAGTTTGAGCAGGGGGCTGGACTAGAATACCTCCAAAGTCCCTTCCATTCCATTCTATCCCTATTCGTCTATCCTTTCCTATTCCTTACTCTACTCTACTCTCTACTCCACTCCACTATTATTTTATTCTGCTCTGCTCTACTCTATTATTATTCTATTCCGTTCTGTTCCATTCTATTATTATCCTAGTCTAATTCTACCGTATTCTACTCTACCGAAGTCTACCGTATTGTACTGTATTGTATTCCATTTCATTCTATTCTGTAGAAAACCTAGGTGAAGAGATTTCCTCTCACACATCCACCCCCCCTAAGGTCTCATTTACACCTTTCAGGACTCATTGGCGTTGGGGAAGACGGATGAAGAGGCCCGGAAGCAATTCCAACTGAAGTTCAACGAGGCTCTTCGGGAGAGTTGGAAAACCAAAGTCAACTGGCTGGCCCATAACGTCTCCAAGGATAACCGCCAGTAGGGGAGGCCCTCTCCTGGAGTCTTTCCTTCCTGGCTCTCCGGGTGGAGCAGGCCGGCCCTTCCACACCTTGCGTGAAACAGGTTGACAGGACCGTTTTTAGGCGGCCCAGATGTTGGTGGCAAGACGATGTCCTTATTCCAGAGGTCCTGCTTGGAAGCTCCTGGAGATAACTCCTCAGCCGAATGGTGATGGTGCGAGAGAATGAGGAGGAACCGTGGCACAATTTTGGCAACCGCGCTGTTTGATGATCTGCGTATAGCTGCAACTGTGTGTGTGTGTGTGTGCACGTGTGTGAGATTCGTATTTTATACTGCTCAATGGTACTCGACTCGCTCACTGGTTGAGCTGAGGTGGTTGTGAGGTTTCAAAGATGCATCCAGAAGAGCTGGCCTCTTTAGAAAGAGATGGACTTTTCTCACAAAACTTGTTGGTTTTTGCACAAAATGTTGGAAACCCCTCCATCCCCCAAATTCCCAGTCTTGCGAGGCCAGGAATTGTCTTTTGAAAGAAGAGCCCTTAGTGAGAAGTACGGTGAGAAGTTTTGGCAAGGAGGTGGATGGTTTGATGACGTCATGCATCCTGGTTTGTCCGATGCAGAAATGTTCTTGCAAACTTTTCAGTTACTTCTTAATTGCATTCTTTCTTTAAAAAAACAACAACTGGTCACTTCCCGATAACCCTTTTCCTTTTTAAAATCCAGCTTTTCAATAAATGCAAGTTCGTTTCACCAGTATCTTTGGACAAGGTTTGTTTCTGCTGGGGACCTGAGCATGTTTCCAAAAAATTTCAAAGCCTGAGATTCCTAACTACCACTTGCCCGAAAATAAGACCTCCCCGGATAAGAAGCCAAATCGGGATTTTGAGCGCATGCGCTAAAATAAGCCCTCCCCTAAAATATTTTAACTGAATGCGCAGCCAGTCCTGGGGGGGGGAAGAGGGGGAACATTCCCCATGTGCTCCATATGCACCTGCCATCCACAGAGAACAGTCTTGCGGAGAGGCTGCTCCTGCCAACTCCGTCTACCGTGCCCCTCTTAGTGGCGGCCGCAAAAAGAGTGGCAGGCCCAGCGGCGATAGGGCTGGCAAGAGTGTGCCAGAGACAGAACTTCCAGCCCTCTCTGGATCAGCTGATCCACGGGTTGTGGGCCGAGGTTAAGGGGTTTCCGGTACCTCAAAAAGAATAAGACGTCCCTGAAAATAAGGCCAAGCACTTATTTCGGGGGTCAAAAGAAAATAAGACCTGTGCTTATTTTCGGGGAAACACGGTACCAGTAGATATAGACAGACAAGGCAGAGATGGTAGGTGGGTAGGTAGGTATAAATAGGGTAGGTGGTTATATGGATGGATAGATAGGATAGCTAGAGATAGCTAGATAGGATAGCGAGAGAGAGGGAGAGATACAGTAGGTAGATAAGATGATAGCTAGATAGGATAGATAGCTAGATAGGATAGATAGTAGATAAAGATATAGATATAGATAGCTAGGATAAATAGAGATAGATAGCAAGATATAGATAGATAGATAGATGGATGGATGGATGGATGGATGGATGGATGGATGGATGGATGGATAGACGGATGGATAGACAGACAGACAGACAGACGATACAGTAGGTTGGTAGGTAGATAGACAAAGAGGCAGAGATAATAGCTAGATAGGATAGCTAGATAAAGATATATAGATGATAGCTAGATAGCTAGGATAGAGATAGCTAGATAGGATAGATAGCAAGATATAGATAGAGATAGATAGATAGATAGATAGATAGATAGATAGATAGATAGATAGATAGATAGATAGATAGATAGGATAGAGATAGCTAGATAGGATAGATAGCAAGATATAGATAGATAGAGATAGATAGATAGATAGACAGTAGATTGGTAGGTAGATAGACAAGATAGCCAGAGATGATAGCTAAATAGGATAGATAGCTAATGATAGGTAGATAGATACAGTAGATTGCAAGGTAGATAGACAGATCGATATGGTAGATAGATAAGTGACAGGCAGGCAGGTAGACACCAAGGAAACTGCTGGATCTCCCTTCCCGAAATGACAGCAATTCAACTCATCTTTTTTAGAATCAGAAATTTATTGTAGCTCAGACTTTTCCAAACGTGACCTATTTACCAATATACACATCTGAAATGTTAGACCCATGATGGCTACAAAATGCATCAGAGGGGGAGAAAAAAAATTAACAGCCTTTCCGTATTAGCATGGGTGGGAGGGAGGGAGGGGGAAAGCGTAGTGGACATGATTAGGTTTACAATCTCTAAAATACAGTTGCTAAACAGAGATGGGATGATGGAGAAAAAGGCTTAAGGTTTTGTTTTTTTTTCTCTACACGGTGACAACAAAAACACAGGACAAATTCAGACACAAGTTAAAAGAGTGTTCCCAGTGAAAAGTCGTGTGTGGAAATCTTCCAAACCAGCTTTTCCCTTGCCTGTTTAATCAATCAACTGTTTTTTTCCCCTCCTATCCTTTTTGTTTTGCTTTTGCAAAAGGGGGGAGGGAAGGGGTGATGATTTGAGGAGGGGGGAGGGAGAGTGAAACTGCACTTTGCTTCCCGAGCTGTCCCATTGCCAAAGGCACTGTGGAGATCACACCGGCCCAAAGGAAACCCTGTTTGGCAGTTAACAAAAAGTTCTCAAAAGGATGCCCAGGGAGGGGGCATAATTCAAGCACCCCGCCCCACTGATAACAGGCACCTCATTTTTGCACGGTGAGATGGCCAAGACCGAAGGGAGAATTCTACCTGTCCAAATATTTCTGCCACAAATTGTGTCTCTTCCTTTCCTTTTCTGTTCCTTGCTTCCCACTGCAAAAAATGTAAATTAAACAAAAGCTTCTATACCAGTGTTTCTCAACCGTGGCAACTTGAAGATGTCCGGACTTCGACTCCCAGAATTCCCCAGCCAGCATTCGTTTAAGTCCGGACATCTTCAAGTTGCCAAGGTTGAAAAACACTCTTCTATACTTTTGCAGCTGAAATCCTTATTTTTGAAATCCTTTTCCTCCTCCCTTTGTAATTTTTTTTTTTTGTGCTTTTGACAGTTTTTGGGGAGATGATCTACCATGTAGCTGAAGGGAAGCTGTGTGTGTGACGTTTTAACAGGATGACAGAGTTGGAAGGGACCTCGGAGGTCTTCTAGTCCAACCCCCTGCTCAGGGCAGGAGACTCTACATCATCTCAGGCAAATGGTTGTCCAGTCTCTTCTTAAAAACTTCACGTTGATGGAGCCCCGGCAACTTCTGGTGGCAAGCAGTTCCACCGGTTAATTATTCTGTCGGAAAGCGTGATTAGCAAAGGGCTTTTCCACTTTGGCGACAAGAGCCGAGAACTTTTTTGTTCAAAAAGTGAAACCAACAGGGAGAAGATCCCTTCCTTGACACCCCCCCAGCCCCCACCCTCAAATCCTCCAACCCTTTTCCACCCAGGAGAATGTGACATTTATTTCCTGCCACTACCGGTGTGTAAAGCGGCTTTGGGGGGGAAAATCATTCTGCTCCTGGCACTAATTCACCCAGGCAAGGTTTAATGAAACGCTAGGTCGGTTTCCATCTCTTGGACCACTCTCGTCAACGTTATCTGGAATGTTGATGCGATCGCTGGAGGGGGGGGAGAGAAGGAAGAGCCCCATCCATTTGGGGGTATACAAAGACCCTCCCCCTCCTGTGTGTGTCCCTCCTCCCTCAATAAAAATAATAATAATAATAAAAAAATAAGCCGGAGAGAAGAGACACCCACATCTCAAAAGTTAGTGGTGTAGTAGCTACAGGAATGAATGGGAGTGTTGGGAAAAACAAAATGGCGCCAGAAGAGAAGCTTCCCTCGGAAGCCGAGGTGAACTTGGACCGCGCAGCTTTCTGGATCTGGCTCAACTCCTGAGAAGTGTAGTGTAAAACCCAGAGAGGGCCGTGTTTAAAGGGGCCCTGGGTGCTTTCAAAACGACAACGCCAACAACAACAACAGAAGCTGCGAAGCCGCGTAGCTTCCGAGGATAACAAGCGGAGTTGGCATCTGAAGGTGGCCGAGAGAAGAAGCTATCTTTCTTTCTTTTCTCCTCTCCCCCTTTTCAGAAAGAAAAAATGTATTAATTAAAAAAAAAGGGGGGGGGGAGAACCCATCCACAGACCTCGTTATGAAATCACAAGTCGAGTCCGTCGGCTTCCGGTGGTTGTTGGTTTCTCTGCTTTACTACTTTTAAAACTTGTCTCAGGGAAGTTTAGGGGATTCTGGGGGAAAAAAAAACCTTGAAATCGCTATGCCATGCTGAGTGATTTTTTCATCGTTTTTTTCTTTAAAAACCTCCGCGCGGTCGTCTGCCTTCCCTCCCTCCCTCCCTGTCCCTCCCTAGCCCAGCCATGTTTTCACTACCACAAGTGACATAATTACATAGTTCCGACGTATTTACAAAATATTAAAAAGTCTTGTTAAATCTCCTAAATATCGATACCCCCACCCCATTCTGCCATTTTACACATGCACTAGAGTCGGGAAGGGGAAAAAAAGAGCGTTGTCCGCGGGGAGGACCCGAGACAACCGAAAATCAACTAAAAATCAAACCAAGGTGTTCGTTTTTTTTCTTTTTAAGAAAAAGACTAAATAATAATAATAATAAAAAAAAATAGGTTAGCTCTCAGTCGACAAAGGAGTGGCGGGTTGTTGTTTTCCCTTGCTTTCACCCCCTCGCAAATCAGAAAAAAGAGGTGTGAAGTAAGGAGGGTGGGGTAGAGAGAAGACATCCCCATATAAAATAATAAAAATAAAATAAAAGTTAATTCTAAAGGGGAGGGGGGGAGAAACAGAAGGGGAAGCATTAGATCCGGGCATATTTTACAAGCGTTGAGAAGACACCCTTTTCCCTGTGGTTCATTAAAGCAGCCTCCTCCGCAAGTTGGAAACGGTGGCTGCTTTAAGAGCCACCCGTACGTGGTCGCGGGCGGGAACGTCGCTCGCAAACGGGGGTGGGGGGCAGCTGGGATGACCGAGGCCCTTTGGAGGGAGATGACTGGGGCCAGAAAGTACAAGGCAAGGCCCTGCGGTTAAAAAAGAAAAGAAAAAGGGAAATCACCACAATCCAGTCACTGGTGGAGGGGAGGGAGAAGTGCTAGCTACATTTCTACAGGCAGGGGTTTGGGAAAGGATATGTCCGACACACGAAGGGGACGGGGTGGGTGGGAGAGAAGGGAGACTGGCCAACTCTAATGGGGCCAAGAGACGGCCTGGCCTCTGGCACCCCTGAAAGGAAGGGAAGTGGTTTGTCCTGGCATTCTCCGGAGCGGGAGAACGAAATGAAACGAAAGAAAAACCGACGAGGCGAGCAGGGAGTGTGAAGCTCAGTAGGGCAGGGTCGAATCGTCCCACTCCAACTGCTGCTGCCGGTTGACGTGCTGGGGGTCCTCCTCCTGCTCGCCCCCACCCTCCTCCTCCTCGCTGCTCTCCGATTCCGCGCTGGTGATGTCGTCTTCCTCGCCCCCGTCTTCGCTTTCCTCTTCCTCCTCCTCCTCTTCCTCCTCGCTGCTGTGCTGGTCCTCGTACGTCTGGGAAACAGAGACACATGGAGACTCTCTCTCAAGGGGCTCTCCCGTTTGGGGGGGAGCACCTTAAGAGAGAACCCTGGGGGGGCAGTCGCCTTCCCTCCTGTCCTACACCCGGAGATTCAACTCAAAGTCTCATCGGAGAGCTCGAGGGAGGAACAGGCAGGCTACGGGAGAAAAGGATGGACAGGAGGAAAGAGCACCACTAAGAGGTATTTTGGGTGGTGGGTGTGAAGGGGGATGTGGGTGTTGCGTATGGAGATGAGAATAAGGAGCTGCTTTCCAAGAAATAATACAGAGAGGAATTGGCCCAATTTGGGGAAAATTTTCCCAAAATAACAGGGTCCTTCCTAGCATTTGAAGTTTTCCATGCGGAAAGTCAGTCATGGAAACTGTAAAATAATGGTGCTTTTAAGAGCCGTGTAGGCGCGGTGGTTAGAATGCAGTACTGCAGGCTGACCACTAGTAGTTTCACCCTCACTGCCTCAAGGTTGGCTCAGCCTTCCATCCTTCCAAGGTGGGTAAAATGAGGACCTGGATTGTTGGGGGCAAGAGGCTGACCCTATCAACGGCTTAGAAAGGGCTGTGAAGCACTGTGAAGCGGTATATACCACATTTTTCGGAGTATAAGACGCTCCGGAGTATAAGGTGCACCTGAGTTTTTGGGGAGAAAAATAATAAGAAAAAAATTCTGCCTCTGCCTACCAGCATCCATGGTATTCAGCTGACACATGGCAACAAGATCAGCCAATGAATAGGCATAGCAACTAAGTCAGCCAATGAGGGCTATTTGGAGTCTGAAATTTGCTGTGTGAGCAACAAGGAGACAGGAAGGAGCCTGGCTTAGTTGAGGGCTGTAAAGCACTGTGAAGCAGTATATAAGTCTTAAGTACTATTCCTTCCTTCCTTCCTTCCTCCCTCTCCCTCCCTGTGGTTAGAATGCAGTATTGCAGGCTGACTCTGCCCACTGCAAGCAGTTTGATCCTGACCGACTGGCTCAAGGTTGATTCAGCATTCCATCCTTCCGAGGTGGGTAAAACGAGGACCCAAATTGTGGGGGCGATATGCTGAGTCTGAGAACTGAAAACTGAAAGTGAAACTGCTTGTGTTTTGCTTGTATTTACTGCTACCTTGGAAAACCTGCTTTTGGTAATGTATATTATTATTATTATTTTGAATCTTGCTGAATCAGTCACTCTGCTTTCTGAATGTGACTGCTGCTGCAAACTCTGACA